GATACACTATATATACAAAAGTATGTGGACACCCCTTCAAATTAGTGGATTTTACTATTTCAGCCACACCCGTTGCTGACAGGTCTATTAAAATCGAGCACACAGCCATGCAATCTCCATAGACAAACATTGGCAGTAGAATGGCCTTAATGAAGAGCTCAGTGACCTTCAACGTGGCACCGTCATAGGATGCCACCTTTCCAACAAGTCAGTTCGTCATATTTCTGCCCTGCTAGAGCTGCCCTGGTCAACTGTAAGCGCTGTTATTGTGAAGTGGAAACGTCTAGGAGCAACAACGGCTCAGCTGCGAAGTGGTAGGCCACACAAGCTCACAGAACGGGACCGCCGAGTGCTGAAGCGCGTAGAGCGTAAAAATGGTCTTTCCTCGGTTGCAACACTCATTACCGAGTTACAAACTGCCTCTGAAAGCAACATCAGCACAATAACTGTTCGTCGGGAGCTTCATGAAATGGGTTTCCATGGCCGTGCAGCCGCATACAAGCCTAAGATTCCCATGCGCAATGCCAAGCGTCGGATGGAGTGGTGTAAAGCTCGCCACCATTGGACTCAGGAGCAGTGGCATGATGAATCGCGTTCTCTGGCATGATGAATCACGCTCCACCATCTGGCAGTCCAACGGACAAATCTGGGTTTGGCGGATGCCAGGAGAATGCTACCTGCCCCAATGCATAGTGCCAACTGTAATGTTTGGTGGAGGAGGAATAATGGTCTGCGGTTGTTTTTCATGGTACGGGCTAGGCCCCTTAGTTCCAGTGAAGCGAAATCTTAATGCTACAGAATATAATGACATTCTAGACGATTCTGTGCTTTCAACTTTGTGGCAACAGTTTGGGGATGGCCCTTTCCTGTTTCAGCATGACAGTGCCCCCATGCACAAAGAACTGTCTGGAAGAACTTGATTGGCCTGTACAGAGCCCTGACCTCAACCCCATCAAACACCTTTGGGATGAATTTGAACGCCGACTGTGCCCAACATCAGTGCCCAACCTCACTAATGCTCTTCTGGCTTAATGGAAGCATGTCCCCATAGCAATGTTCCAACATCTAGTGAAAAGCCTTCCCAGAAGCGTGGAGGCTGTTATAGCAGCAAAGGGGGGACCAACTCCATATTAATGCCCATGATTTTGGAATGAGATGTTCAACGAGCAGGTGTCCACACAAACCCTAACCTTTTTGGAATTCAAGTTGAAAACAACTGTTTCTTTTATTTCCTGCAATGGGATGTAATTAAAGAATTGAAGTTGTGTTTTGTGTACATTAAGGTGTGGCTGTGTTCTTCACCATCACTCGGTCGGTGAGTAGTTTCAAGATGAGCCCAGGTCTCGCTCTCTCTCTTTCTCTCTCTCTCCCTCTCTGTGCCCCACTTTATTCATGCTTGAGGAATGCTGGAAGCTGCAAACAACATAATTGTTCATCAAGGTTACTTCCTGGAGAGATGTATTGTTATGTACCTTACAGTCATGGTTTTCTACATCAACCTGTATATAACTTGTCTAGTACTGTCCTGACCTGCAGTTCTGTGTAGTGAGTTGTTTGACCTTGGTACTGTTAGGTAGGTGTATGTAGAGTCAGCATCCATTTGGTTGTGTAGCTCAAAATCATAGGGATTTTGTTCAGGATGATTCAATACCAACCTGAGCTCTAGCAGAATCTGTATGGTATTTTTTTTTCAAACATATTCAAATTATTTGGCTGGAGATTATTTTGTATAATAGGAGTAAATGAAACTAAATCCTATTACTATTGGGAATATAGAACTGCTTGAATATGAAACAAAGTTGTATTACAAAAACAACTCTCCCCATTTATGTAAGAAAGGAAATATCTAATATTTGTAAGAATGTTATTTTCAGTGAGCTTCATTTGCAATTCTAATCAAATCCGGCTGGATATTTTTGGTGAGCTTATGAACGCTGCAGCAACACATTAGGTTTTAATAAAGGGGAATGTGCAATGTCAGTTTAAAAAAATAATTACGGCTCCACTGCTGTTTTACTGAATTTGTAAGAAGGGTAGAGCCACAAACAAGGTCTTGTTTATTCAGTTCCTGTTTTAAGATCAGTGTTACATTATCCTGTATGTGGATAAGATGCTTTTTAGAGAGATAGGTATTGTAGCTAACTAACTCCACAACTAGCCTATAGCTCCAGTCATTCTGTATGATTTATTATGAAAAACATGAAAGTTATTATTGTTTGAAAATGTATCCCACTTACTTACTTTGTTTATCCAGGAAGTCCCATTGATGTCAGGAGACCTCTTTTACGAAGGAGACCTGATAGGAGGGAGATGATACATATATCTGAGAGGCATTATTTTCTGTTGTGCATGAGTAAATACTGAGAATTGACTCTTCAATAAGCCCCACCCCTCTAGGTTACTGTTGCAACCTAGGACAACATTTTCCCGGGAAGCCCAATTCCCCCATCTAACCACTGGCAAAATCCCCTCACAATGATCTCAAACTGTGTATTTAATACACAATGAAATTAAACAGACTACCCCTTGCTAATCAGGAAACTATCGGGTATGTTGTGGTGGACTGTCATTACAATTGCTTCACGGGAACCTGGTAAAATTATGTTTGTAGTGTGGCTAACCACTGAATGGCTCTGAATTCACTGTCAGCATGAAGTCAAAGCTACAACCACTTTTGGAGCAAACTAGTGCCCTCAAATTGTATCCTGATGTTGACAGCAGATGAGAGTTGTATTAATATCATGGCTAACTTTGCTAGCTAACATACATTTCGAGAAAACAAGTTATATTAAGATGCTAGCTAGATAGCTAGCATTAGCAACATTTGGTGGTCAATGAGACTGAGAGCTAGCTAACCAGCTGTGCTAGCAAATAATGTAACAAAAGTATAATTTTGGATTTGAAAAATACTCCAACAGGCTCTGTATTTCAGGAATCACAATAGCGAGTACCCCTGGTGCACTGTTCAATTATTTAGCCATTTAAACAATGTATTATTAGATGGAAACTCTCAGTTTTTCTCATGGTCTCACTAGCTTTCATGTGTTTCAAACTGAGCTAGACAGAGATTTATACAACACTGTTACTCCACCTCAAGGCTCTTTGGGAAGAGATTAGAAAGGTACGGTATGTTCATATGTCAGAAATCCATCACAGTTTTATTCACATAAAGGGGCATATGTGTAAAGAGAGGGCAAACTCCTGAGTGTAGTGTCAGGGTGTAAGGTTAGAGCATGAGTCTAAACTGGGTGTGCAGTCCTGCAGTATAGAGACCACACACACACACACACACACACACACACACACACGTACAAACACACATGTACACACACACACACACACACACACACACACACACACACGTACAAACACACATGTACACACACACACACACACACCACCTCCCCCTGCCCCCTGGGACAATAACTGCCTCACCTTCTATTCAGGACTTAATGAGAAAACGGACTGATCGATTTAACTCTAGCCATAACAGGAGAGGAGGGCAGCACGGTGATAGCATAGATCAATTGTGCTGCTCTGAGGTATCCAAGACATTTAAAACACCAGCAACCTGTGTTAAAACAAATACTGTTTCCAAGATTATAGCTATGTCCTATCAGTAGTCTTTATAACATAGTAATAACATCATAACAGCTCAGATTATATAGACTTAAATAAATAGATTTGTAGCGAATATCTGTAGACAACTGATCAAAGTTAAAGCCAAAGTGTATCTATTTCAGGGTAAAAAGAAAAGTAAATTTCTACTTTTTAGTTGGCATATTGATTTATTGTCCCCCCACAATGAAATCGGGGAGGGGACTGTGAATTTGTCTCCATCCATTAGTATGTTAGTGCGTTCGTTCGTACGTTAGTCACACGCGATATCTCAGACAGCACTGACCAAATTCTCTATGAAACTTCGGTGAATGATGAGTCTTGCCATAGAGATCTGGCATTTACAAAATTACACTGATTGGCCAGATGGTGGCGCTATAACAAGAGATTAAAAATGCAAACATTGAAGGTCATGCCCCTCACCACATTTGACCTAAAGTCAATAAATTCACTACATAGGTCCCTCTCCTCACAAGGAACCAATTTGCCTCAGGGACCCTTAACGTCCGCCATGATGGATTTTCCGGCATTTTGAATTTTGAGAAAAACCCTTAAAACTCTACTTTTCTGGCACCGAATGACTGATCTGAACGAAACTTGAGATGTGGCATCTATGGACAAAGGTCTCTCAACACAATATTTTCCAGACTAGTAACCTAAAACAACATGGCCGCTATTGACCAATAAACATTCACGTGGGCATGGTCTGGCACATAAATGTATATAAATCAGTCAAGGATATTCATATTGTAACAACATTTGGTACACATGTTGCAAACACTGTCAAGACTTAACATATACAAGAACATTCCTATCGACCTAACGGTGGTGCTATAAAACGGGAACATGTTCATATCTCTTGATCTGTTTGACTCAGTGTGATGAAATTTGGTACACATGCTCATTGATATGAGTCTAGCAAACCCACGCGTTATCTCAGACTCCACTTGCCCGATTTTGACGAAACTTGGGTGAGTGATGCGTGGTGCCATAGAGATCTGACGTTTACAAAATTACAGATTGCCATAGAGATTCCTGGGGGAGGACATATTTACATAGTTGCCTTGTTTGAATAAGCAATAGCCAGGTGAATCTACACTGAAAGAAGACAATGCGTTTATTTCAGAAGGGGGAGTGTCTGTTCCTTGTGACATCAGGTACAGAGCTTTGGTGCCAAGCCCAATTATTTATTAAATATTCAGTCTCTATCCATCATTGTATTGCCACCCCGTCCAGACCATTGAGCTGTTAAAGAAGGTCCAGACCCAATGTTAACCGTCCAACCTTCCCGAAAAAGATGATTGCCGTTCCTTGAGGAGACAGAGGTGGGACTTACGCGCTCTTCTTCTCCAATCGTGGCTCAGGGGGCGGAGGCTTTTATTCCATACTCTGGTTGTGTGTCAGTTGCTACAGACATAAGCGAAACAATAACAATTGGTGATACTTTCACTAACCCTCTGAGAGAGTGACTGTTACATGTTCCGTCCATCAAGCTTTCGAGGAATTTGGGAATAGCATATTACGTGCTCTGTGCATGTCAGATTTGACACGATTTGAAACCCTTTAAAGTTGAATCTACTTTTTTTCTACAGTAGCTGTGCAGGAGTGGCCAGAGCCTAAAGCAGCTATTCATATCAGATTTCAACCAAACCAGCTGGGAGAGAGAGCGCGTTTGTCATTATCCTTCCCTTTCCGATCCAGGAAAGCTTACCAGGGAGAGAGAAAAGAGAGAGATAGAGTGGGTGAGAGAGGAGGAAAGAGACGGAGGGATCCAAAGGAATTTCCAAGGATATTTCTTCTGTTGCCGTGAAAAAAAAGTGTTGGTCAGTTGGGGGCGAGGCAAAGAGCGCGGTCAAGGATGGACGAGCAGCCTCGGTTGATGCACTCCCACGGCGTGGGAATGGCCGGACACCCCGGCCTGGCGCAAAATATGCAGGATGGCACGGGAGGGACGGACGGAGATGGAAGAAAGCAGGACATTGGAGACATATTACAGCAAATAATGACCATCACAGACCAAAGCCTGGACGAAGCGCAGGCCAGGTACGGTGGCATAGAAAATTATATTATTTTCAAAGCCTTACCAAAATAGCATATTTATGAATTAAGAAATAAATACTGTAGGCCTACATTGTAATAATATGATGTGCATTCATGCTATCCAACGAAAACAATTACGCCCACCCGAACGCAACAACTGCTCGTAGGGGATGAAGTGCTTGACGTTAAACTACCTTCAGCCGACCAGTTTTATTTTGTGAAAGTTAACTTTTAAATTAACAGTATCATCAAAAATGTTTTAAAAAGAATGACGATATTAAGCTACTGCAACTACAACTGAGCGGGTTGCATCCTCTTCCCAATTTCCAATCGCCTTTTATCTTGTTACAAATTAGATTACGCAGTAATTGCCCGCAGTGTTACATGTTGGGGATGCATTCCTTTTGGATAATTTGTTTCTTTTTAGCCAATGGCAATAAAGGTTATCATAGCACCAGTGCTGCGCCTCGAAATTGAGCCAACGATCACATCTATTCGTGCTCCTGTGCAAGAATAGATTACATAGGATAGATTGTATCATATTCATTACTGACATCCCACCGTGACGTAAAATTGAAATGACCCGTGCCATTCATGTTAATTAATCTTAGGGGTTATGGATGAAGTGTAGTGGGACGGTAAGTGTTGCAAGTGGGGTTTGATGAGACAATGGAGACACTAGAAAATTACATTTTACACCGAAGTATTTTCTCTAATAAAGAATAAGACTATGCTATACAATGGGTCTTTAGTTTAGATCACTTTGATTGAAGGGTTGGTCAAGACTTGTGTGTAAATTCAGAATAATATGCATTGTTAATACCAATTGCAAGGATGAGCTTTATTCTTCCTTATCAAATTGACAGTGATCAAACAAGTCTCCTCATTTTAGATATGCTACAAGCACATGCAGAACACTTTTGCAACTATTACTATCTCTTCATCTTATTGAATTTGGTTGTAAGTTGTGTGTGTTTCCCCTTTTTATAGGAAACATGCACTGAACTGTCACAGGATGAAACCAGCTCTCTTCAACGTCTTGTGTGATATAAAAGAGAAAACAGGTAAGGTGAAATTCTACCACATTGAAACAATGACTTTTTTCTCAATCTTTTTGTCTTAAGTGGCGTTTTTATGAAGTTATTATGGCCAGAACAACTTAGAGCCCACATTGTTATTTATAACACCATATTTTGAACATTATAAATATTTATATTATATTTCTAAACATACTGTATGTGTTCAGGTGGTTAACCCATATTCTTAACAATATGGTTCTACAATGCAACTGTATCTACATTTATTACCACACAACCAAACATCCTTATGTGTGTCAGTCAGTGAGCCAAAAGCAGAACACACGTTCAGAACAGACAGCAGAGAGGAAAGGTCTTTACTGTAGGTCCAAGGTGGTGTCATTGAGACATTTATTAGGGCTGTACTTATTTACTTCATTTTGTGTCAACATGTTTTTCCTTGCCAAGTGTGATGCTGTTTGTTTGTGACATGCTGTGAGTGTTTCTACATGCTGATGCTGGCCAGAGGGATTCTCTCTGTTTGGGTTTGAAGCGAGGGTCAAAGTCATGTAGAAGAATCTGTGAAATATAGGCACTTAACACAAGATTAAAAAGACGAAGCGCTTGTCTCTGTTTATCTAAGAAAGCATGTGAATATTCTTGGAAAAAGTCCAAGTTCTAGCCTACTAAAGAGATATTTAGAAAATGGAAGTCAAACCGCAATCTAATACATATCTCTGAAGACATATCTCTGAAGACATATCTCGGAACATGCCTTTTAACAGGATATTATTTTGAAATTATTAGAGGATCTTATCACTCACGCCGACTTTAAAGTGAAAAGTGTTTCCAGCGACTATCATGACCATCTGTAGCCAGCAAGAGCAATAAGAAAACAAATGGAATCAGTAAAGGAGGCTGTGGTATCGTCTTCCTAATTTGCCCTAAAGGTTAATTTACGGACATTTCATTACTGTGAGTCAGACTCTGGCACAGGGCTTAAAAAAAGACGAGTTATTAGCAGTGGACCGTGTGTGGTTTTCATTTTAGAAAAAAGGAGAGAGAAGAAATGAAGTCCAGTCTGTGAGAAGCCAGTGAGGTTGGGCCCCGGCCCCCTTCCTTCTCAGAGGAGTATGCTTAGAGTAGGGAGAGAGTTATGCCTGGTTCTTTTCAAGCTGCCTGGCATCGTTCTGGGTTCAACCAGAGTTCGTTTCCAAAATGAAGAAGAACAAAGTGAGTTGGACCTTTTCATGCCCCCCCCCCCCCCCCCCCCCGCTTCTCTTCTCTTCTCTTCCCACCGTTCCTGGCAACCAGGAACATAGGGGCTTCTGACTATAATGGCTCTCTTGGCCTGCTAACTTTCTCCGTCTTAATTTAGAGGTAAAAAATGGTGTTGAAGGTAACGTTTCAACATAGATTTGCGTTGTTGTTTTTGTAGTTTTGTGCTCCTATCTCTTAAGTGGATTTAGTTCTGCTAATGTTTTGGCCTCTGTCCAGTGTTCGCTTCCTTTGATAGGGTTTCAGTTGGGTGTTCCGAATTCAATGTACTTGGCCCCTCAAGATAAAAGCACCATGGGGGAATCCCTATTGAAGAGTTTACTGGTTCGCACACGCAAACTCACACATGAACGCAAGCACACAACGTCCATTGAGGTGTTGTTGTTACTCATGCAAAAAATAAAAGGTTATTGGTCGAGTTCACAGTTTAGCAGATGTTATAGCGGGTGCAGCGAAATGCTTGTGTTAGTAGCTCCTAACAGTGCAGTAAAATGTCAAACATGTACACAAATAATAAATAATCAAAAAACAAGAAATCAAGAATGTCAGAATGAATCCAACACTGTTTTAGTCATCCAAATGCAATCTATGCATATATACACCAAAAAGATATACTAAGAATGATATGTACAACCGTAGATAAATTACAGTGAGCAATGTCAAGAATCCTGTATATAAATACGCAGTGTGTATAAACAGTGTAAAAAAAAATGCTATGTACATTAGTAGATATATTAGAATGAGCTATGTGAGAATACGGTATATGAATGCACAGTGTAGAAAACGGTATAAAAAAAACGGGAAGTGTCCAGTGTTTAATGTCTCTATATACAGTGCCTTCAAAAAGTATTCATACCCATTGACTTAATACACATTTCGTTTTGTTACAGCCTGAAATCAAGTAATTTTTTCTCTCACCCATCTACACACAATACCCCATAATGACAAAGTGAAAACCTGTTTTTAGAATTTTGTGCAAATGTCTTGAAAATTAAATACAGAAATATCTAATTTAGGTATTCACACCCCTGACTCAATACATGTTAGAATCACCTTTGGCAGCGATTACAGCTGTGAGTCTTTCGGGTTAAGTCTCTAAGAGCTTTGCACACCTGGATTGTGCAAGATTTGCACATTATTCTTTCAAAAATTATTCAAGCTCTGTCAAGTTGGTTGTTGATCATTGCTAGACAGCCATTTTCAAGTCTTCCCATAGATTTTAAAGCCGATTTTAAGTCAAAACTGTAACTAGGCCACTCAGGAACATTCAATGTTGCCTTGGTAAGCAACTCCAGTGTATATTTGGCCATGTGTTTTAGGTTATTGTCCTGCTGAAAGGTGAATTTGTCTCCCAGTGTCTGTTGGAAAGCAGACTGAACCAGGTTTTCCTCTAGGATTTTGCCTGTGCTTAGCTCTATTCTGTTTTTTTTTTATCCCAAAAAAACTCCCTAGTCATTGCAGATGACAAGCATACTCATAACATGATGCAGCCACCACCATGCTTGTAAATATGAAGAATAGTACTCAGTGATGTGTTGCGTTGGATTTGCCCCAAACATAACACTTTGTATTCAGGACATAAAGTTCATTTCTTTGCGAAATCTTTTGCAGTTTTACTTTAGTGCCTAATTTTATTTTTATTCTGTATAGGCTTCCTTCTTTTCACTCTGTCAGTTAGGTTAGTATCACAACCATTAAACTCCATTAAACCATTTGGGCTCCCGAGTGGTGCAGCGTTCTAAGGCACTGCATCTCAGTGCTTGAGGCATCACTACAGATCCCCTGGTTCGATTCCAGGCTGTATCACAACCGGCTGTGATTGGGAGTCCCATAGGGCAGCGCACAATTGGCCCAGCGTCGTCCGGGTTTGGCCTGTGTAGGCCGTCATTGTAAATAAGAATTTGTTCTTAACTGACTTGCCTAGTTAAATAAAGGTTAAATAAAAAAATAAAACTCTAACTGTTTTAAAGTCACCATTGGCCTCATGGTGAAGTCCCTGAGCGGTTTCCTTCCTCTCCGGCAACTGAGTTAGGAAGGATGTATCTTTGTAGTGACTGGGTGTATTGATACACCATCCAAAGTGTAATTAATAACTTCACAATGCTCAAAGGGATATTCAATGTCTGCTTTTAGATTTTTACCCATTTACCAATAGGTGCCGATCTTTGCGAGGCATTGGAAATCTTCCCTGGTCTCTATGGTTGAATCTGTGTTTGAAATTCAATGCTAGGCTGAAGGACCTTACATACAATTGTATGTGTGGGGTACAGAGATGAAATAGTCATTCAAAAATCATGTTAAACACTATTATTGCACACAGATTGAGTCCATGCAACTTATTAAGCACATTTCTACTCCTGAACCTATTTAGGCTTGCCATAACATTTACGTCATTTAGCAGACGGTCTTATCCAGAGCGACTTACATTAATTTTTTTTCATACCCCCTGTGGGAATCGAACCCACAACCCTGGCGTTGCAAACGCCATGCTCTATCAACTGAGCTACGTCCCTGCCGGCCATTCCCTCCCTTATCCTGGACGACGCTGGGCCAATTGCGCGCCGCCCCATGGGTCTCCCGGTCACGGCCAGCTACGACAGAGCCTGGATTTGAACCAGGATCTCTAGTGGCACAGCTAGCACTGCGATGCAGTGCCTTAGACCACTGCACCACTCAGGAGACTATGGGGTTGAATACTTATTGAAATGGGTTGAATACTTATTGACTCAAGACATTTCAGTTTTTAATTTGTAATTAATTTGTAAAAGTTTCGAAAAACATAATTCCACTTTGACATTATGGGGTATTGTGTGTAGGCCAGTGACCCAAAATCTCAATTTAGTCTATTTTAAATTCAGGACTGCAACACAACAAAATGTGGAAAAAGTTAAGGGGTGTGAATACTTTCTGAAGACATCTACATGGGACAGCAGCGTTGGCTGTGTGTGTGTGTATTTGCGTGTGTTTGTGAGTATGGGCGTGTGTGTGTGTGTATGTGTGTGTGTGTGTGTGTGTGTGTGTGAGCTTGTGTGAGTAAGCATTTTTGCCTCTTACTACAGGAGATGGCATGATGGCTGTTCAACAGTATGATAGCATGGAGATAGAAGCTGTTTTTCAGTCTTTCGGTGCTGGCTTTGATGCACCTGTACCGTCTCTGTCTGCTAGATGGTAGCAGAGTGAACAGACCGTGACTCGGGTGGCTGAGGTCCTTGATGATATTCTTGGCCTTCCTTTGACACCGAGTGCTGTAAATGTCCTGGAGGGCAGGCAGCGTGCCCCCTGTGATGCGTTGGGCTGACCGCACAACCCTCTGGAGAGCCATTTGGTTGAGGGCGGTGCAGTTGCCTTACCAGGCGGTGATGCAGCCCGACAAAATGCTCTCAATGGTGCATCTGTAAAAGTTTGTGAGGGTCTTAGGGGCCATGCTGTCATTGTAAATAAGGATTTGTTCTTAACTGACTTGCCTAGTTAAATAAACAGTGATTGCGTCGGTCGTGGATCTGTTGGGGCGGTATGCAAATTGTAGTTTTGATGAGGTTTATAGAATACAAAGACCTAAGATCACTTGGTATCATACCGTTCCTTCTATCTTTATATCTAGTTGCTGTTCATCTTGTGGGCATAGATCGTTTTCCCGCTGTGAAGAGCAGACAGAAGCCCAGAAGTCCACTGCAGCAACAGCAAAAAATGACTTCGCCATGACATTTACAGCCAAATGTGCTGAGAGCAGAGTGTGCAAAAAGAGAACAGCCCATAATTTGTCAGGTCTTTTTTATATTATTTTATAAAGACTCAGCCTCTCCTCAGTTTTACATTGTTGCAGCCAGAG